GGAAACTTGATTCTCACTACCTTTACTTCATTTGTGAGTTGCTCATACAAATTTATAATGAATGAGTCAAATTTATTCTAGTTTCCATGAAAGAAGAAACATGGATTTCTCAAATTTGCTAAGAAGTTAAACTGTAAAAGTAACAACCACCCCCCCCCCACACACACACACAAATCTAACAATATGCAAATGCTCATTTGAACATGGAAGACATGAATTTGTCTAGTTTGGTTTGTGTAGCTACTATTTTGTTGCTAATTTTAAATGGGTTGCAAACATTTATTTAATCTATTGCACCAATAGCTTTTAAGAGAGGCACTATAAATCAAAGTTGGCTTTGTGCATCTTGATACAAATTGATGTACAGACTTGAAAACAATATTTTTTTTTCCTTTGCATTAAGAGTGCTATAATAATAAGGGGCTGTGCTAGCTCATATGGTGTAATCAATCATATGTTAGTAGTTGGTAATGATATTTATCTTCTCCCTGCAATCAGTGAATCCAACTGAGAACAGCCTTTCCATATAAGTATTGCCATCCCCTCAGGGTCCTGAAACAGATGGCCTGGCACTTTATTTAAGTTTTACAAAAGTTATAAATTCTGATAGAAAGATATACACTGTTTAGAGATGCAAGAAGAATAATACTATGAACACCATCTTTTCTCTGATAATACTGAACCTGAGTTCTCATTGAAATAGTTTAATTGCTGCAAATGAGTATTGCAGTTTAGAAGTTGTTGTTGTTATCGTTGTTGAGATTTAAAAATCCTATATGTGTAAAGGATGCTGTTCATTTTTCCCAGTTTAGGGATTAATTGAACTGCTCACTACCAATCTCTCAAGCAGAAAGTTGCCATTATGCTGCACTTCCTTCTGGTGTATAGCCTTCATTTGGTTTTGTTTCATATTTCAACATTATGTTTGTGTAATTATTTCACATTAATGTTAAACTTTGTGGAAGCATCAAAGGATCACCTTCACCAAAGTACGAAGAATATAAACATTAGCAAAAACAACAAAAAGCATAATCTTTTCAAATGTGCTACATAGTACACTGCTTAATAACAACTAAAATCTTCTAGTTTATGTGGTTTATTTGTTAAACTATTTAGTTTAGTTTATTTGGTTTATTTGGTCGTATTGAGGTTATTAAAGCATTCCAGTTTCTACACTTAAAATTTCAGTAATCTATCAATAGATTCAGAATCTATCAATCTATCAATCACCAATTGTTTGGTGAAGTCTTGCCATTCATTCATTTATTCATTCTTTTTTTTTTAAGTTTATTTCTTTTGAGAGAGAAAGATAGCATGCAGGCAGGGGAGGGGCAAAGAGAGAGGGAGAGAGAGAATGCCAAGCAGGCTCCATGATGAAAGCTCAGGGCTGGAACCCACGAATTATGAGATGATGACCTCAGCTGAAATCAAGAGTCAGGCACTTAACCGACTGAGCCACCCAGATGCCCCTATTCATTCATTTTGAAATTTATCAACGTTTAGTGAATACGTATTATGAACCAAAAGCTTTGTTAATGTTAAGAGATTTTTTAAAATGGGGAAAAAAGAGGGTCCCTTCTCTGAGACGGTTTAATAGTATAGATTGGCATCTGATCTAATGATTTTGAGTCTTCCTTTCTCTGGAATTCATTAATTTAAACCCACGTTGATACACTACAAAGATTTGGGAGTGATCCAATTCTCCTAAAAGATTTGTTCTGGGAAATGGCTGTTTCTGGATGGAGTTGTATCCCCAACAAGTATTTTAGCATTTCCTCTTTCTTCTCTCTTATGGTTTACTCTTTATTAAACTATCACAACAAAGTGAATAAGAATATTTTCTTGAATATATTGACTTGAATCTCAGCAATTTTTTTATTATCTAAGTACATTATTTTGGGGGTAAAAAAAAAGACTATATGCTTTGCTCCTAAAGAAGTACAGACAGAATTTAAGTACAACAAAACATATGTTTAAATTTTATTGCAATATTAATTCTTATTTCATAAATATACTCATATAAGGAATACAAAAAGGACAAAAATTTTATTTTTCAGCCTCTTTAATTTTTTTAAAACTCAGAACATATCTGTATATCTTTATAGAGAATTAGTATAATTTGGAGGCCCTGCAGGCTTGGGAGAGTGAGTATTTGAACTGGTTCTTCACGTGGTTCCTTTTTAAAATAGGGGGGGCTTAAACATTTTTTTTAAGTTCAGAGTATTAGAACAATGTAGATTCTAACAGATTATACAATAGTCCATATTTTAATATGGAAGTTTACTGATGAATTTTTTTCATTTAAAAGGATCTCTTAATAGATTTTCATTTGACTTTCAGTGTTTACATAGCATTGCCTCTGTCACTCTTGAAATGCACCTTTTGAAATGTAGAAGTAAAGTTCTGTAAATATAAAATAGCTGCCTAATCAAGTTTTCATATCACTATCAAACTAGTTTTGAGATCAGGTGTCAAAACTAAAACTGCAAGTGAATTTTTTGAGACAAACTGTCTGTTACCTTCATTCAGAATGGCAGATTCTTTCCTCCCAGAAAATTACTTCCTTTTCCCTTCCCCAAATAATAATAGGCAAAATAGATTCAACTTAAATTGACATTTCCTCAGATATAGTTTAGTCGCTTAGACTCCTGATAACTTCAGCTTTCAAAACCTGTAAAAGGTAATCATCTCTTTTTGTGGGCTTGAAAATAGTCCTCTTAAAGACTTTGGCTCATGATAGATTACTCTATTATTCCTTATAGAATCATCAGGCTGTTAAATACTAGAATAATATATCTTTATAGTTTTAATTCCTATCATTCATGAATATTAATCTAAATAATTCCCGTAAGGAGATATGGATTGTATAATTACTTTAGAGAGTGTCTTTGGTAACATTCATACCATGAATAAAGAATATTTTGAATGAAGACTTTGGAATTTCTCTGGTTCTTTATCTATAAAGTAAGAATAATAGTATCTGAACCAGAATGTAGTTTTTAGCAGAAAATGAGACAACACATAATGTACTTAGTGTTTTGTCAAATATATAGTAGAGAGTTAATGTATGTTTTTATACTAACATGCTCATGGTTGGAGCAGGTAGAAATGGTGCTGTTTGACAACATGTTGAGAAGTCTTAGTATTACTAAAAGAAAAAAAAGACCACGTATATATGAAAACTTAGTTATTAATCTTAGAAAAGTGATAGAACCTCTTACTGTCTTTTAAATGAAAATTCCTGTCTGTGCGACATGGAATTAAAAAAATTGTAAAGAGGGGCGCCTGGGTGGCTCAGTCGGTTAAGCATCCGACTTCGGCTCAGGTCATGATCTCACGGTCTGTGGGTTCGAGCCCCGCATCAGGCTCTGTGCTGACAGCTCAGAGCCTGGAGCCTGCTTCAGATTCTGTGTTTCCCTCTCTCTCTGCCCCTCCCCTGCTCATGCTCTGTCTCTCTCTGTCACAAAAATAAATAAAAAAATTTAAAAAAAATTTTTAATAAAAAAAAATGTAAAGATACTCAATAGCAATATTAATTAATTTGAAAAGACCTCTGGTTAAACTTCAGGCTTAAAATAGAGTTGATAAGACACTGCTTAATTCCGCTTTGTGAGTGGATGATAGATAATTAAAAGGTGACCTGCCTTTTGTCAGATAGTGTTCCTGATGGCTAGTGAAATTACACAAACTAAAGGATAAAAGATGGCATTTTAAATGAGAAAAAAACATTTTTCATGGTACATTAAGGATTTGTTGACCAGAAATCCATGATATTATACTGGATACAGCTGATGGCAGGTTTGTTTTATTTTCAGAAAATCTGTATTTTGTAAAGTTGAAAAAATAAGGAATGAGTTTTAAAGCTCTAATGTAGGCTTTAGGAATAATATGTAATTAATCTAGAAAGGAAAAGAAGACAACTTATACCTGTAAATAAATAGTCCATTTCTTTTTCATTACTCTGTAATGATTGTTTGAATCAAAACCGAAATTCTCACTGCAGTCCAAAATTTATCTTATGTCAAATCTTTTATTTCTGTTACCATAAGAATCTACTAAAACCAATAATATGTTAATTGCAAAGGCTTCATTGGTTTGAAATGTTCCGAATGGACACTGTGAAGAACAAACTGCTTTAGTAAAGACTGCCTTCAAACTAAAATTTATTCTGATCACTTGTAGTCTGACTAATTCCAGTTAGAACAGATGTTAAGTTGTAAAAATATTATTTCATTTTTATTGCTTCTACATCCATGATTGAGCCAAGCCTTAAAATTTAAGTCTGGAGTTAGGAAGTGGGGGGAGAAGGAAGTAGAAAAATATGTTCTTTGAGTTTGGCAAATACTCATATGCAAAATAACATCAATTTGGAAAAAGAACACTGTTTTTTTTTTTTTTTTTTTCTTCATTTACCTATCCTGGTTCACATTGTATTAATACAAAATGTTTCATCTTTTGGAACACTTTGTTTAATCTGTTCTTTACCAAGAGAAATGTATGAGTTAATACCAGTAGTTCTAAGAAATAATTAGGAACATCTTTTTTAAAATGTCTCTTACTTTCTCTACTTGCTTTATTTAAAAGCCCCATTTTTCATTGCTAAGAACAATATATATTATGCTTACATTGCAACTCTCTTCTGGGTACTCAAAGTACCTTGAAATCCACTTAATTTATGACCTTTTTCAATGTTTAGACAAATAGTTTTCTAAAGTGTTCAATATAATACAAAATTCCTAAATAAAGTGCATTTAATCAATTGCTCCATTTAGAATTACTTAGGCATTAATGATGTAATTTAACATACAAACAACACCTACAAATGAGTTGATCATTTTAATGAACATGTATTGTTTTTATTTGGATGTGTACTAAGCACTGGCAAATGCATTACAGTAATGGATTTCTTAGCATTTACAGATAACAACTCTTTAATAGTTTTGTGTTTCTGTTTATTATTTATTATAGCATTTCTAATCCTTCCATTTTTTATCTTATAGGAAATAAATGATGTGGATGTTCAGGAACTTGTAAGAAGGTCAATTGGAAGGTTAACAATCATTCGGCAGACATTTCCAGTCCCCCAGAATATAAGTCAGCGATGTTTCCGTGGCAACCATCGAATATCTTCAACATTGTGTGATCCAAAGGATCCATTTGCTCAGAATATGGAGGTATATTCTAAGTGCTACAGTATTTCTCTCAAGGTGCTTTGTTGGCCAATTGTAGAGAGAGCTCTTTGAGTTGTTTTAGATTTAGAATTATACATGTTTCCATTTTCTGAGCTATTCTCTTCCTCTGGAAATTTTCTAAGTCTGATGCAGGAGTCCTAAGAATTTGTGTCTTTGATCTTTTTGACCTCATTGTAGCAAAATATATACTTGTTAAAAAAAATTAAATACATAAAAGTTATTTCCTTCCCAGCAAGTAGATCCATAGCATTTACTGTGTTGGAATTTGTGATTGATATTCCTTAATGCCAGATGGCAAATTATTATGCTAATAAATTTGCTTGTTTTTTTTCTGTATAACAAGGACATAGAAATATATTTTTAAAGATTACTCTCTAGTTTAAAGACATTAGCCAAAAAACTATTTAGAAATTCAAAAGATACTATAGTGCTATATATTCCTATACAAACCAGAAAGGATATGGCTGAAACCTTTGCTCTTCAGAATACAACAAAGAATTCGAAGGTAAATAAATAAAATCTCTGAGCAGCAAAATAGAGAACATCAGGTGCCTGCAGTTTACTCATAAGGATGTCCTTTAACTACTCACCTAGAGTCCATTTTCTTTTTCTTAAGGAAAATGCTAGCAGATTTTGTTTCATTTAGTTTTATTTCCTTTGCACTGGAAATTTTAATATGTCAATTTGAACAGGGTGTTAAAAAAAAAAAGCAGACACATCAATAGTAGGAAGCCATAAGGAGTACTTTCTAGCAAGGCAAGAGACAAGAAAAATAAATCAATAAGATCTACTAATTCAAATATCCTATCAATGTAGACTTGCCTTATAAAAACAACTCTGTGTCCTAAAACAGTTCCTAAGGATATAATTGTAGTATACTGCTAGAGTAGTAGTATTTAAATAGTAATTCTGAGATAACAAAAATTAAAATATTGGTCAATTTCAGAAGTTGGAAGAATATATGTTTTAGAAAATTATTCCTTCACAACGTTTACTATAGTAAGTGTTTTAGTGCTTAGAGATACTCAGTTTGAACAGTTTAGAAATATAACCCTATGAGAACTAATTCATCCCCAGTAATACTAGATAAATCAGGTGATTTTGTAAAAATGACCCATTCTTTTAAAAAGCATCTCCACGCTTTTTCTATCTTTAGTCACCTGTGGATTTTTTTTAGATGAATTACTATTGATCCAATCACTTCTTCATACTTGCAGTCAACCTAAGAAGCAGCTATATTTCCCAGGTAGCTAGATCCAGGAGCATTACCCACAGAACTTTATGTTCCCAACTAGGCTTTAGGCTTTTGTAGAATAGGTCTCCCCCAGGACCTGGTATCATAAAATCCCATAAAGTACACATCTATCTTTATTTCCTCCATCATGCCTACCACACTGCTTTGCTTCTTCTTGAATATTTGTGCATTTGAATGTAGCTAAGGAGAAGACAATGGTTAAACTAAGCCACTCTAGAGCCTAAACAAGACCTGTTTAAATTTTAATGCCAGTCTTACAGATATGCTTATAATGACCAATCTTTTCATATTAATTGGTCATGAGTATGATTGATATGAAAATGATAGAATTCTAAATGGATAAAAACGTAGAATTTTGCTTAAGAAAAATTTGAAATATTAAAGCCTATCTCGTCAAAGGAAATGGCAGGAAATGTACAAATTGGAAAAGTAGAAAGTAACTACACAGTATGTTTTTCCAAATTTTCATTCAAATTCTGGTTGGTTAACATATAGTGTAATATTGGTTTCAGGAGAATTTAGCAATTCATAACTTACATGTAACACCCAATGCTCATCATAACAAGTGCCCTCCTTAATACCCATCCCCCCACCCACATCCCACTGCCCACTTCTAGCCCATCCCCCACCCACTTCCCTCCATCAACACTCAATTTGTTCTCTCTTGTGAAGCGTCTCTTATGGTTGTTTCCCTCCCTCTCTCTCTTCCACCCTTTCTATATGTTTATGTTTTGTTTCTTAAATTCCACATATTAGTGAAATAACATGGTATTTGTCTTTCCCTGACTTACTTCACTTAGCATAGTACACTCTAGCTCCTTCCACGTCATTGCAAATGGCAAGATTTCATTCTTTTTGATGGCTGAATAGTATTCTATTGAATATATATACACCAAATCTTCTTTATCCATTCATCAGCCAATGGACACTCAGGCTCTATCAATAGTTTGGCTATTGTTGATAATGCTGCTATAAACATCAGGGTAGTGTACCCCTTTGAATCAGCATTTTTGTTTCTTTTGAATGAATACATAGTAGCACGATTGTTGGGTCATAGGATATTTCTATTTTTAACTTTTTGAGGAAATTCCATGCTGTCTTCCAGAGTGGCTGCATCATTTTGCATTCCCACCAATGGACGGACTACATAGTATTGTAAAGCACATTCACCTAAAAGCACAATCCTTCTGATTCTGTTAATGAGTTTCTTGAAATCAGGGAGCAAATATTTTATTTGTTTATGTATTTATTTATTTATTCATCTTCATATCCCCCAGACCTATATGATAAATTAAGGATGTACAGGAAGCACCACACCTCTTATCCCCACCTTTGTCTTACTCCCTTCAAACCCACAGATGGAGGAAAATAAGAAAATTACTTTTTCTTTGAGGATTTACTACATAGTAATTTCCCTATTATATGTAATAAATTTTGACAGAATAGTTAATGTATAAAAGAAAATTTGACAGAATCTTTTATATGTGAAGATTTATATAATTAAGTATCTAAATCTAAATGTATCTAAATGTAGGGCTGTTGAATTTAAGATGTTCCACTAAAAGCAGAGCATGTGATATAGAGGCTTACCTTGGGGAAAATTTTATCTTACTGAAGTTAAAGAAAAACAACAAGATAGTATGCATTAAAAATTTGGGAGTACAGGTTTCCTTTGGAGAAGTAACCCTCTCAACTTGGAGCTCATAAAAAAATGCAGGTAAATATGTCCACAGACAGACCTTTATCTTATCAGCTGGGTACTATTAAAAGTAGTAAAATAAAAGTATGAAAATATGACTGAAGAGAGCTCTAAAAATAGAGACCCAACCGTAAAATGGAAACCCGAACTATAAGATCACAATAATCATTACAACAGGGAAGAAGAGGGCACAGTGGGCCTGTGTAGAGATCTTTGGGCTGTTACTTAATTTAACATTTATTTATTTTTGAGACAGAGAGAGACACAGCATGAATGGGGGAGGGTCAGAGAGAGAGGGAGACACAGAATCTGAAACAGGCTCCAGGCTCTGAGCTGTCAGCACAGAGCCCAATGCGGGGCTTGAACTCACAGACCATGAGATCATGACCTGAGCTGAAGTCGGAGGCTTAACCGACTGAGCCACCCAGGTGCCCCTTAATTTAATGTACATAGAAAGAAAAGGTTTAGAAGGAACAAAAAACAAGTTTCCCAAATCTTTAAATTAGTGCCAGAAAGACTAAAATCCAGGATGAGTTGAAGTTGCAAAATAAATGTTAAAGGAAACTTTTAGCTCTATAAACAAAGGTTTTAGCAATATATGAAGCAAGAAGAAAAAAGTGAGTCATTCACTGCTTGGTGAAACTAATGTTAGCTTGGTTGCTAATGGAGAGAAAATAGAAAAGTCAGTGTTTTTTGTTTGTTTGTTTGTTTGTTTGTTTGCTTCTGTCATCTCCATCTAAGAAAAATTGTCTTCAAATTGGAAAAGTTAGAATAATTTTTTTTTTAATTAAACCACTTTTTTTTTAAAGAGCAGGGATTTGGATATGGTAAGAGTATACCTTACTGCTTTAAAATGAAGCTTAAATAATAATTGTTAAGAATAGTAAATAAAGTGGTAGATACGATCACAATATTATAATTTAGAAATACTGGAGAAATACCTCAGAAGAAGACCCCAGTACGTGAAATTGGTATATCGTTCCACATTTCAAAAGGAAGGAAAAAAGATTCTGACAGAGTATAGTATATTAAAGGTTGATGAATTATTTGGATAAACTGTAGAATGTATTATTAAGTATATCATTTGGGGTCCTTCATATGTGACCATAGGACTCTCTTAAGAACAAGCACTGGCAAGTCAAATCCTGTTTACTAATTGTTTATATTGAGAGAATTTTATAAATCTATTTATTGTATGTTGATTTTTCTGTTGTGTTTGACATTTTTTAAGGAAAATTTATAGGAAAGCACAAAATCTTATAGGGAAGCATTAAAAAGTCTAGATAGATTGATGTCACTCAAAGATTTTCAATAAAGGACTAAGAATAGAAGATAGTAGTAAACACTCTGTTTTCAGATTTTTTTTTCAAAAGGAAATTTAAAAAATTCAAAATATAGACAGTCTCATTATTATCCTTAAAAGGATAAACTCATAACTTATGAGTTTATTTAAAATTAAAAGTAATTTTTCAAATAGTTTACTAGTTATTTTTCTTACCCTCCAAATCTTTGAGCAAATTTGATATGCCTACAACATGGCTCAGATATATTTTGTAGCTTTGAGCACTTCTAATATCCATACTTTATTTTACTTCAATTTAGGAACTATGGAACTAGAAGAACATTCAACCACAGTGATAAACATTCTACTCTTGAAGTATGAGGAACTCTCTATGGTCATCCAAAAATACTGTTCTTGTACTTATATTCTCAAATGTTTACCATTACACAAATAAAAATGAATAAAGCATGCCTATCAGATTTGCAAATGACGTAAAGCTAGGAGAGAAACCTTATTCTGGGCTGTATGATCAAGATCCAAATTATTACTACTCCCCAAATAATAAACGTAAAAGTTGAAATTTCAAAGAGATAAAGTATAGGCTCAAAGTCATTACCCTAAGTCTAGTTGGATGAGACCTGGTTTGACAGCTTTTTAAGGTTATTGAGATGAAGGCCAATTTTGTTTGAACATAGCGCAAGTCTCATTTGCTCTACACCATTTCAGTGTAATCTTGGTCTCCATGTCAGAGCATTTTGCTATGATCAAGAGACATAACCTTAGGGGCGCCTGGGTGGCGCAGTCGGTTAAGCGTCCGACTTCAGCCAGGTCACGATCTCGCGGTCCGTGAGTTCGAGCCCCGCGTCAGGCTCTGGGCTGATGGCTCGGAGCCTGGAGCCTGTTTCCGATTCTGTGTCTCCCTCTCTCTCTGCCCCTCCCCTGTTCATGCTCTGTCTCTCTCTGTCCCAAAAATAAATAAAAAAACGTTGAAAAAAAATTTAAAAAAAAAAAAAAAGAGACATAACCTTATACTATTCTGTTCTAGTCAGATTGTATCTGCAATAATGTGTTGTTTATAAGTTCTAAACTCTGAACAGGAACATAAAAAAAAGAAAGAGAAGGAAAGAAGAAAAATGCTGAGATGATAAACAGCCTAGAAATTATACAAGATAATGAACAATTGAAGGAAAGAGAATGTTTCAGGGCAATTGATGGATGTTATCAAATATCAGAAGGTTGTCAGATAGAGAAGGTGGGTGCTGGTGCTCAGTTAAGTTGGAAAACACGTGTAGTGAGAGTGAGAGGGAAATAATTGGTCAGCTGGTGGGAAAATGGAGTTTAAGATGTTAGAGGAGGTATGTGTTTGTGTCCAGTAATAGTCATTTGTGTTAGATGTAGCCAGAGTAGATGTCAAATTCATCTCTGTAGAAATTGCAGTGACTTTTTTTTTTTTTAATGCTGGGCAAAAGTTTGGAATCACTGTGAAAGAGGAGTCAAAGACCTCATGAATACAGAGTGGCCAAGAGACGGGTAGGTGATAACAGAAAGGGACTCTAAAGTATAGTATAGGAAAGAGCATGAACCTCAAAAAAAGAACAGGTGCTTTCCTGAGATAGAAGTAATGGAAGGGGTAATTGAAAGCTCACAAAATGTCACTACCTCCTTTCGATCCCACAGTTTGGAAGGTGGGCAAATGAATAGAGGCAGTTTTTGTTGAAAACACCAGTCATATATATCAAATGCAAAGCACTCGTCTTTAGGAACGGCGTGGATGCTCAAGGTACATGCCTCAAAGCTCACAGAAGACACTGTGCCACCACAGTGTCAAGATTTGGATGGAACCCAAGTTGTCAGGTTTCTCACATCTTGACTTCTGTCAAACATGCCTGATGTTAAACCTGCCTTTCTTTTCTTCATCTTCTTTTGTTTGACAACTATTTATCAGAATGTGTGCTAGCCGCTAGGAAACAAAAGTACAAAGGGGAAAAATTTGTACATGATGAGCCCCTATCCAGAAGGAGCTCATGTTCTAGTGGGAAAACCAGATTAAGAAATCATAGAATTATGATATGTTCCAGTACAGGCACGCGTGTGTTAAAGGAGACTGCCCAGTTAGCCTGGAAGCTGGTAGGGTCCTGAGAAGTTGTCAGGATAGGATTCTCCTAACTTCTGACCTGTTAATTGGATATTAGATGTTAACTAGTTGGAGAAAGGTAACAAGACATCAAAGAGTGTTATTCCAACAATTTCATATATAAACTGAAAGAAATCAGTCAGAGGAAGAAGCCAAATAAAGCTAGAGAGATAAGAGCAAGCACGATTGAGGCAGTGAAGCAAAGAAAGGTTAAAAGCGGCCAGATTATTGCAAATTATTGAGAAATTGTCAGAAGGTTTTCCTTTTGGGTCTTCACAGTCTAATTCAGACTGAATTTTGATTCATCAACTACTTTTATCTTCAACTCTTCATTCATTGCAGATTTAAGCTACTCCCCTAGTCTGTCTAGTAATTATCTGGCAGGGGAAGGGCAGGGAGGTGAAGGTGAGGATAGCCTGCCTTACTATTTCCTTACAAAGAACAAGGGTACCTGGGTGGTTCTGTCGGTTAAGCGTCCAGCTTCAGCTCAGGTCATGATCTCTCAGTTCGTGAGTTCAAGCCCCACTTTGGGCTCTGTACTGACAGCTCAGAGCCTGAAGCCTGCCTCAGATCCTGTGTCTCCCTCTCTCTCTGCCCCTCCCCTGCTCACACTCTGTCTCTTTCCATCTCTCAAAAATAAATAAACATTAAAATTTTTTTTAAAAACAGTATTTCCTTTTAAATAACAAGTTGGTATTTCACATAGTGCATGAGAGTATGCAATGTCTCTTTTAAGAAAGGCCTGCCTTCCATTAGTGTTACACATATAAAACGATGTTTGATATACACAAATGATTAAAGATTCACCTAGTAAAGAAAGAAAACTCACAAGGCACTATTAGGAAGTGCTTATTAACAGTTTCTCATAGCATTAAACTTTCATCCCAGTAGTTGGAATTTAGTGCCATTTTGTGATGTGGGCAGACAATTTCATAAGATTCCTTCATAATTACTTATAAGCAAAGGGCAGTCAACGTATTGTCCCTTTTATTTTCAGGAAGAAAACTGTGATACCAAGATACTTTTAAAAAGCTGAAGAAATTTAAATACCTTAAGATGGATTTAACTTTCATAGCTACATTGATTTCTCATTTTTGTTTTACTTTATGTTGCATTTTTCTTTCAGAGGAGTAATAATAAAACATCTAACAGCCTTTATTGACTTTGGATATCTCTTGATGTTTATGTTTTCTAAATAAGTTCTAATTTCTTTGAAAAATAAACACCTTCTACAAATGACAGCATAGATATTAGTTCTGTCAAGAGTAAGTGTAAGAATGCAACAGATCATAGTGACAATTTTCATGACTCTTTTTTGCAATTTATATAGAAGGAAAATAATAACATGATTGCTTTAAGAAGAAAGCATTAATTGAAATACATATTCACAGTTATTTATATTTATTTATATGGTCACTTATTTATAATGGTATCTGTCATGTTAATGAATTAGAATGTATGTGTATACCTAGATAATGTTGTGTAGATCCTTGATAATTGTAATTTTATCAATGGCCATGCGTTTTCTCATTTTTTTCATTACCACATCCCCATAGACATGCACATATACACACATGTCTTCTTCTTCTTCTTCTTCTTCTTTTTTTTTAGCACCTATGACACTTATTTTATATGTAAGATCGAGTTGATATTTCTCCATCTGAATAATCAGAATGCAAAGACTTGACATATTCAGAAAATGTATTATTCAGTTTGCCCTTCCAATCTGAAGCCCTTAGATCCTTACCTCTTCAGAAAGAAATAAGGGCCAGTGATTTTCTAAGGTCTGACACTAACAGCCTTGCCTCTGTCGAAACTTTTCTTTTTTATCTTCTCTTTCACACCTAAATAAGCTGAAAAAGCAATTGAGGCATACAATCAGACAAGACTTCATTGTCAACGGCAAAATTGCCCAGGAAATGAAAAAAAGAAACCTTTTGCTTAATAAATAACCCAGTAAACCAGCCATCTATGACATGAACGGAGGCAGCAGAGCTGATGATTTTCTCCTAATTCTTGATGGTTGGCATCAGTGATTCTAATGATTACTGTCTAATGTCTTTTCAGATTTCAAACCTTTACATATATGACACGGTGCTTCTGCTTGCTAATGCTTTTCATAAGAAACTGGAGGACCGAAAATGGCACAGCATGGCAAGTTTGTCATGCATCAGAAAGAACTCTAAGCCCTGGCAGGGAGGGCGTTCCATGCTGGAGACTATCAAGAAGGTAACTTGTGACTAACGTTTCACTCTCTTTAATTTTCATGTAAAGGGATACAATAAACCATTTTTGAGGGCATATCTTTCAAAAGGATGTTTTTTGTCACCAACATTGTCAGTCCAAAGCACAAAACAGTGTAATAGATGAGTAAATATTAAAAACAACAACAACAACAAGGTCAGAAAGTCACATGCATGTATAAAACAAGGAGCCGTTACCTATTTGTAAGGATATATTACACGAGTATAGTTAGTGGTTGAAATTATTTGAATTGTATTTGTTATACCATTAGTATTAGAAATACTCAAATTATTTTGGTGCCTGTGACAAATACAAATACTTGGTTTTGTTTGTTTGTTTGTTTGTTTGTTTGTTTGTTTTCTTTAAAATACACCATCAGGGGCGTCTGGGTGGCTCAGTCGGTTAAACGTCTGACTTTGGCTCAGGTCATGATCTCTGGTTTGTGAGTTCAGACCCCACGTCGGACTCTGCTGGCAGCTCAGAGCCTGGAGCCTGCTTCAGATTCTGTGTCTCCCTCTGTCTCTGCCCCTGTCTTGCTCACACTCTGTCTCTCTAAATAAATAAATAAATACATAAATAAATAAACAAACAAACAAACATTAAAAAAAAATTTAAATACGCCATGAACTGAAAAAAATAAACACAAGCCGTCACTGTTTTCCAATTACATGATACATGGTAAGACATTAGAAGCAATGATCTTTAATTTATCTTATAATCAAGATATAATTCATAAGCAGTACTATTTTGCAGCATTTAGGAACTATTTTAGCTATCTGGTGTGTTCTCCATCCTCACTGTCAGTGTGGTGTTTAGCCTGGCTGTGACCCGCTCTGGCTCAGTACCTGCTCCGTTCCCAGGAGGCACTTTATGCTGTTAGGCTTCTCTCAATGGTTTGAGCAATTCTGCAGTTTATTAGCCTCTTTGTCATGTCATCCTTGCTGGCATTTTCTGTCTGTCTCACACAGCTTCTTGGATTTAAAATGAAATGATTAATAAAACAAACAAATGTCTCCTGTACCCTTTACACAAAGAAGACAGACATTTAGAAGTTTATGTTCTTTATTTTACCCATCCTTTTCCTCTCTGCACGTGTTTGCCTTCCTCTCATGAAACAAAAAAAGAAATAGCTAGTTGAAAGAAATGTGAATGCATTTAGAAAAGCCAGAGAAAAACCTAAACATCTATCATTAGAAGTGAACTAGAGGTACAAAAAAACAGAAGTGGAAGAAAGAAATGTTGCAAATGGAGAATAGCCTGGATCTTTCTCTTGGTATGTTTCCTTTTTGTAAAAAGAATCGCTTTAATGAGAATTTAGGCACTTATCAGCAGAAGTGCTTGAAAATCAAATGCATTGAATATATTGGCAGAGTAAGATATTTCAACTAAAATATGAATAAGTCAAATCTAAACTCAAGGTGTTGCCAAGATCTCCCTATCTGTCCATGTAGAGATTTGGCAGGTATGAATCCAAGGGAAGTTGTTGAACATGATTCTGATCCTGCCAATTTATTAGTTCAGGCTTTGGCTAGGATGCAGGAACTTGAATATATTCATTCTTCTGAAGCCTTCTCACAAAGACAGAATAATAGTTTGGGAGGTTGCTTAGGAGATACTTACTTAGTGAAAGTATTAGCGGAAAGGAAATAAAGATACCATAATATGTAGGTAGTTCTTATGGAATAGTTCAATATATAAAATGTTGCTGCTGGAAAATGTATAATCAAAACAATAATATGATAATTATGACATTTATTTGGGGGGAATATTTATATATTTGTCCTGGTGAGCTTTCAGCCTAATGATGCTTTTTAAAGAAATATATCCATTCAGTGTATTTAAAGACTAAGTTTGAATGATATATGTCATTGCAGATATTCAGTTACATTATTTTTTAAGTAAACTCTATGCCCAACGTGGGACTTAAATTCACGACCCCAAAAGCAAGAGTTACATGCTCAGTTTCATTATTTTTTGTTCCACATTTCAAATTGACTTAAAAAAAAATGGAGTTGTTTTTTTTTTTTTCCAGTCATAACTTTGCCTCATATGAGTGTTCTGGTCATCCCATTCAGATGCCAAGGCTGATAATACTCCACATACCAAAAAAATTTGAGAGAAAGATTACTACTCATACAGGAACTCCCAGGAGAGCAGAGTGGGCTCAGGAATGTCCAGGCTGGCTTGACCAAGCAGCAGGAGTGGGCTGGGCCCAGGTAGTGACTAGGAAGTAGGACTGGGGAAAGTTCCCATTTACTTGGGCTAGAGATTTTCAAGGCTTAAATTTCCAACTGGTATCAGACAAAAAGTTGCGGGATGAGCTTTGTTGATCAGCCTGTCCAAATGTGGAGCCGCAGGGTAAAGGGAGACCAAAGCTTAGAAAGAAATCAGCAGCCAAACATCACAAATGAGGTCAGGCTCCTTATTACAGTGGGAATATTCTAGTAATAAAATTTTTAATTACATTCAAATAACCCCTGCGTGTCTCTATGAAAGGCATGCCGTATATACTTTACAAAGCCTCTGTGCTACTGCATGGAGACAACGAAGTGAAAGAATGAGGGTCTGTCCCTTAATTAATTTCTATTCTTTTTAACGGGGTGAGACAAAAGAGATAAAAAAGCAATGCAGCTGACATAAGTACTGTAAATGTCCAGAACATTTATACAGGGGAAGATAGCGGTTTCCAGAAATTGAAGCTTTACAATTTATTTTATGAATTGATAGAATAGGTACTTCCACATTTCTCTTCTTTAAAAAAAAAGAGGCTAAATCTCAAATATTTATTTCTCCACGGTATTATCAGTGACCTTGAGGCCATGCTATTTATATGAATTTTTAGATTATTTTTGAGAAAATGATATTTTTGTAAAATATTGGGTCTACCTATCCATGGACATGGTATCTATCCATATAGTCATCTTTTATAGCCCTCAGTAAAGACTTACAGTGTCCTTCATACATATTTTCATTATATTTCTCCTAAAATTTTATGAAGTTTTGATTGTGTATATCTGCACGTGTGACACTATCATGAATATAATCTATTTCCATTATGTTTTCAAACTACATATTGTAGGTATGTAAGGTAGTGGTTGATGTCTGATATATTTGGTGATTAAGCTGATCAACTCTTGAAACTTGAGTCCTGATTCTCACCTCTTTCTTTGTAGTTTATTCTCTTGTCTTTTCAAGTGGACATTGATACCATCCTCAAGTAAAATTAATGTTGTCACCTAATTCTAATATTTTATGTATTTTTTGAACTTTTAAAAAACTTTTCTTGGGGGCTGTCAGGTACACCATAGAGCTCTGTGTACTTTAGAGGTGGCCACTTTTCCCTGCTTGAGGTGACGATATCAGGTCATATCTTTCTCTGAGACGTAGAGGTGAGGATTCAACCTCTACAGAAGAGATGCAACTGACACCAACCTGGCCTAGAGCTGACCTGCAGAACCCTGACATGCAGGACACAGTATTTTCCAGCTCTCATCTGATGCATTCTTCAATTCTTCATCTTAGTTTTAATGCTAATTCACCACTCACATGTGGCACTTCCAGCTCTTGGGAAGAGGGACCCTTAAGCTGTGATGTTAGTGGCACATCGGAGGCAGAGACCTGATGTGGGGATCTACATGAAAATGTTTGTAGGTGAATTTGCAGGATGAGCCAGCAACAGAGATACAGTGGCTGGTGAGCAGTCTCTAGGCCAAAACTTGTGATTTGAGCAACATACATAAATATGGCAATGTGCAAAGAAAATTTGAGGGGATTTCTTCAACATTTTATTGACTGTCTGGATAAAGAAGAAAATGTTGCCATAGACATTGCTGGGCCTTTGTGCATGCAGTGATAGGGATATTGATATAACTGGGGAGTCATGTTATTTTTATATATCTGATATATTGTCAAGTTAGCTCACATACAGTGTATACAGTGTGTTCTTAGCTTTAGAAATAGATTTCTGTGATTCATCACGTATATACAACACCCAGTGCTCATCCCAACAAGTGCCCTCCTCAATGTCCATCACCCCCTTTCCCTGCCCCCACCCCCACCAACCCCCAGTTTGTTCTCTGTTATTAAGAGCCTCTTATGGTTTGCCTCCCTCTTTGTTTCTATTTTTTTCTTTACCCTCCCCCATGGTCTTCTGTTAAGTTCCTCAAATTCCACACATGAGTGAAAACATGGTATCTGTCTTTCTCTGACTGACTTATTTCATTTAGCATAATACCCTCAAGTTCCATCCACATTGTTGCAAATGGCAGGATTTCATTCTTTTCTATTGCTGAATAGTATTCCTTTGTGTGTGTATATATGTGTATATATATTTTATATATATATATTAACATATATATGCATTATACACACACACACATATGAAACACATCTTCTTTATCTATTCATCAGTTGATGGACATTTAGACTCTTTCCATAATTTGGCTATTGTTGATAGCACTGCTGTAAACTTGGGATACATGCACCCCTATGAATCAACATTCCTGTATCTTTTTGATACATTCCTATCAGTGCTGTTGCTGGGTTGTAGGGTAATTATATTTTTAATTTTTTGAGGAACCTCCACACTATTTTCCGAAGTGGCTGCACCAGTCTGCATTTCTACCAAAAATGCAAGAGGGTTCCCCTTTCTCCACATCCTCACCAACATCTCTTGTTTACTGAATTGTTAATTTTAGCCACTTTGACCCATGTGAGGTGGTATCACAATGTGGATTCTTCTCAGAGCTAGAACAAGCAATCCTAAAATTTGTATGGAACCACAGAATACCCTTAATAACCAAAGTAATGTTGAAAAAGAAAACCAAAGCTGGAGACACCACAATCCCAGACTTTAGCCTCTACTACAAAGCTGTAATCATCAAGACAGCATGGTATTCGCACAAAAACAGACACATAGACCAATAGAATATAATTGAGAACCCAGATTTGGACCCACAAATGTATGGTCAACTAATCTTTGACAA